GGTAAGAATTCATTTAGAGATATACAAATAAATTAATTCAGAAAACGCTAAACAGTGCGTTCTGGTGGAACTTATTTCAATACCCGTGTCCTGAGTTGCTCAGTCTCTCGTCGGCCTTTATTAGACTGCGCTCCGAGGGTGCCACAGCCTCGCGGGCCGCCTCCATCTTCACTTGCCGCATCAGCGGTTCCTGGAGGAAGGCTGCAGCGCGCCTCTTGGCCAGCTGGAGCTTGTTGGCCTGAGAGGCTGCGTTATAATCTGTGTTGTTGGGTTTGCGTGCCCTTCTGGCCCAAGGGTTGGTAATCTAAGTTGTGGATTGTGCGTTTGTTGTTGATGTTGTTGTTGCTCCCATGTACCTTCAGTTTCTCCTTGGATTCCTTTGTGGTTTGGTTTGGTATCCGATGGCCTTGCGAGCAAGCGACGACAGAAACGGAGTATGGATAATGGAGGATTCTCGAAGGGTGGACGGCGCTGCAGAGAAGAGCAAGAAGAAACACTAGAGGAGGTAGAGAAGTGACGAGTCATCATGGTCCTCGTCGTCATCGTTCTTTCCATTCTCATCGCGACCGTTCCAGGTACCACCGTCATGCTTGTTATCGTCGACATCGCTGGTCTTGTTATCGTCACCGTCATCTTTATCATCGCCAGCGTTATCATCGGCGCCGTCATCATACTCATGACCGTCGTCATTACCTTTGCTGTCGTTATCATCGCCATCTCATGAACGATGTCACCGTCATATTCACCATCGTATTCATCATCATGCTCGTCACCATCATCATCACTATCAGTAGCAGCAGCAGCGGCATCATCATCATCATCATCATCATCATCGTCATCATCATCATCATCGTCGTCATCATCGTCATCATCATCATCATTCATCATCACCAGTATCATCATCATCCCCACCATCATCATCACCATCAACATCATCATATTCATCAGCATCGTCATGATTATAATTGACTTCATCCGCGTTAGCATGACCAACACGATGCGGTATAACACATCAAACGTAACAACGTTGCAGGAACAATACACGCGGGAACGTCAAGAAAAACTGTCGGCTCCTAAGATGCCCTCGTCGCCGTGGCTGGATTCTTGTCCACATTCTGGACAGAACGCTCTCCGGGAGGTCCAGGGACTAGCGGTACTGGTATCTGTTGATTTCCCCAGAACGGCCCCAGAAAGAGCCCGAGCCCGGGGTTTTCGGTGTCAGAGTTTGTTTCTGAGTGCGTCGACTAATTCGCGTGAGCGTAACAGGCAAAACCATATGAATAGAGACGTGCTGTGCTCTGCGTTGGTGTCTGGAGCTGGAGCTGGGCGCTGGACACTCAGCAGTTGGACCTCGAGCGAGCAAGAGTTGGACCGGACTCTGGGCTGGAGCTTGGTAGGAGCTCGTGCTCGGCTGGAACTCGAGCTGGAACTGGAATTGGAGCTAGGGCTGGAGCTGGAGCTGGGGCTGGAGCTCGGGCGGAGCGTGAGCTGGCGCTGTAGCGGTGGCTGGAGCTGGGGCTGGAGTTGGGGCTGGAGCTGCGGCCAGAGCTTGAGCTGGGGCTGGAGCTGGATCTGGAAGTGGGGCTGGAGCTGGAGCGAACCTGGAGCTAGAGCTGGAGCTGAAGCTGGAGCTGGAGCTGGAGCTTGGGCTCGAGCTGGAATTGCAGCTGGAGCTCGCCTGGAGCTAGATCTTGAGCTGGGGCTGGGCTGGAGCTGGAGCGCGAGAGCACGAAAAGCATCACGTGTCTGGAGGGTTGGCTCTGGTCGCTCAAGATGAGGCCCTGGCGTGGAGTCTGGCAGCATGGAGAGCATCACATGATGGAGGGCATGCTCCGAACGTTCAGAGTCAGCCCCCGGAGTTGAAATCTGGCAGCACGGCAAGCATGAAGCGCTGGAAGCTTGGCTACATATGCTCAACAACAGCCCCAGGAGTGGGGTTCTAGCAGCGCGAAGATGCGCACACTTACAATTGTTGCACCTGGATTCTCAAAGTCATCCCTGACAGTGGACTTCTGGTAGCTCGATGTTGCAAGGGGCAACAAGGTTTGCGCCCTCATGATCAAACTTAGTCCTGGGAGTGGAGTTCTGCCAGCACCAACAGTCTAAGCCCGCCTGCTGGCTTGGTGGCACGTGGCCCATGTAAACAGTAAGAAGCCTGCAGGACAAGCCCAGTTAGGGAGTTCAGCAGAACCCTGTAAGAACAGTAAGAACCCTGCAGCACACTGCAGGCCAAGCTTTTGCGTGTGTCTCGCGCGACATAGCTTGCGAACGAACTCACGGACGAACGATCAGCCGATGCTCCTCGCCTGGCCTGCTGCTTCGCATCTGGTCCGCAGTGTGCCGGGTTCGCTTCGATCCGAGCCATCCGATGTGATGCCGATTCCAGCCAGCCGACCCGAGTCGAGTTTGATCGTCCTACGGTCCTATGAGGCCTGCCGGGTTCGCTTCGATCCGATCGATCCGATGTGATGCCGATTTCAGCCGCACGATTCGAGTCGATTTTGATCGTCCTACGGTCCTACGAGGCCCGAGGCTTGCGTGGCGCTGTTGTGCCTCCTGGCTCGGCTGATCCGATTCGCTTCGGACTCCGAGCCGAGGCAGCCCGGTTCGGTGTACATTCTTACGGGGGGCTGCCTGCCCTGGAATCGGCGATCACCGGCGATCGTTTCGTTTATCCGACGTGGGGTCGACGCGGATTCGGCGTGGATTCGGCATTGCTTCGACGCGGATCCGACGCGGGCGTCATGGATCCAGTGCGGATTCGACGCGGATGGCGGCACGACGTGACAGAGAAGGCCCCCCGAGGATGCGGCAGGCGCAACGCAGTCCAACCCGATCCAGTCTCACGATTCGACCTTGCGGTCACCGCTCGCCGATGGAGGACCCAGATCTGAGGACGGTCTGCGTTCGCGCAGTCTCGATTCCGCCATGCGATCTGGCTCGATTCCGCGATCTCGATCCGATGTGCCTGGCCGCTCGTTGGCGTGCCCCGCTCTGGCGGACAGCAACGGGTGTTTACCACAACCGCTACCACAGGTAGGAAAGGGAGGAGGAGGAGGAGGAGGAGGAGGAGAGAAGGAGGAGGAGGAGGAGGAGGTGGAGAGAGAGAAGGAGGAAGGAGGAGGAAGAAGAAAAAAGCATACTAATAAGAATAATATACGAATAATCAAAAGAAGCAGAGGGAGGAGGAGGAGGAGGAGGAGGAGGAGGAGCAGGAGGAGGAGAGAAGGTGGTGGGAAGGAGGAGGAGGAGGAGGAGGAGGAAGGAGGAGGAGGAGGAGGAGGGAGGAGGAGGGAGCAGGGAGCAGGAGGAGGAGGAGAGGAGGGGGAGGTGAGGAGGAGGAGGGGGAGGAGGAGGTGGAGGAGGAGGTGGAGGAGGAGGAGGAGGTAGGAGGATGAGAAGGGACGAGTAATGATAGTAGTGTAGTAGTTAGTAGTTAGTAGTAGTAGTAGTTAGGAGGAGGAGGAGGAGAGGAGGCAGGAGGAGGTAGGGAGGAGGAGAGGGAGGAGGAGGAGGGAGGTGGGAAGGAGGAGGAGGGAGGAGGAGGAGGATGAGGAGGAGGAGGAGGAGGAGGAAGGAGGCGGACCTCCCCAGCCTCCCTTCTGCCCCGTCCGATCTATGGTAGTGGTGGTGGGAAACTGGCCCAGGGGATCGAGGACGGCAGGAAGGTGACCCTGTTATCGGCATCTTCTCTCGTCCTCTGAGCTTTTTACTGCCCCCCCCCCTGCTGATGACGAGCTCCCGCGCCGCGGAAGGCGCCGCCTCCCCCGCCACCGAGCGCGCCTCCCAGGACGGCATCCCGTGGGGAACCGCGGCGGTATTGCCCCCCCCCCCCCCCTCTCCCCCGTCCGAGCAAGTGCCCGACCCCGCGTGGAGCAGGAGCAGGAGGAGGAGGGAGGAGGGAGGGAGGAGGAGGAAAGGAGGATGGAAAGGTGGAGAAGGAAGGAGGAGGAGGAAGGAGGAGGAGGAGGAGGATGAGGATGAGGTGAGGAGAGAGGGGGAGGAGGATGAGAGGGGGAGGAGGAGGAGGGTGGAGGTGGCTGGGAGGAGGAGGATGATGAGGGCAGAGGAGGGATGAGGAGGAGGAGGAGGAGGTGGAGGAGGAGGACGAGGAGGGGGACGAAGGAAGGGGAGGTAGTGGATGGGGAGGAGGGAGGAGGAGGTAGGGGGAGCGCCCCCAGTCCGAGCGAGCGCCCGACCCCGCGTGGGCGCAGGCCGAGCTGCGCGAGCAGGTTATTGGCCAGGACGAGGCGGTCCGCTGCGCCGCGCGGGCGCTGCGGCGGGCCCGGGCGGGGTGCCCCCCGGGGCGGAGGGCCAAAGCGCCCCCCCACTCCTCCATCCTCCATCCTCCTGCTCTCCCTCCTCATCCTCTCCTCCTACATTTTCCTACCTCCTGGCTCTTCTCTTCTCCTCTTTTCCTTTTCCTCCGTCCCTCCTCTCCTCTCCTCCTCCTCGTCCTCCTCCCTCCTCGTCCTCCTCCTCCTCCTCCTCTTCTCCTCCCCTTTCTCCTCTTTTCCTCCTTCGTTTCCTCCTCCTCCTCCTCCTTCTCCTACTCTCCTCCTCCTCGTCCTCCTCCTCCTCCTTCCCCTCCTCCTCCTCCTCCTCCTCCTCTTCCTCCTCTTCCTCGTCTTCCTCCTCCTCGCACTCCTCCTCCTCCTGCTCCTCCTGCTCCTCCTGCTCCGCTGTCTCCTCCTCCTTCGTCCCTCCTCGGCTTAAGCCGTCTGTGTATAGAGACACTTGATTTCTTTGGCGCGCACTGGGGTCTCGACTGGACAGGCCAGTGGGACATTTTGCTCCCGTGAACTCCAAGCCCCGCTCCCCCTTTAGCCGAACAGGGGGGATTCGGTGGCAAGTCATGGGAGCCTGGTCTACCCTCTTAATTCCGCCCTTAGTGTCGACTGGCGTCGATTAGTGTCTGGAGTCGATTCGATGGCGCGGATCTAGCGTCTGTGAGCGTCGATTGGCGTCGATTTAGCGTGGATTGGCGTCGATTGGCGTCGATTCGCAGGAGCCGGCAAGATGGCATGGGATGCTCCCATAGATTGCCACCGAAGGGTGGAGGTGGTGGGGGGGGTCCGGCGGGGGGTTCTAAGGACTGGGGACGTCCGTTGGTTTTCGGTGCCGCTTCGGTAGGCGGCGCCTCTTTAGTTTTCGGCGCCACTCTGGTTCCTGGCAGTCCGTAGGTTTTCAGGGCATCGTCGGTTTTCGGTGTCCTTTTGATTTTGGTGTCCTTTTGGTTGTTGGCGCCTTTTTGATTCTCGGCGTCCTGAAGGTTTTGTTGGCGCTGTGTTGGTGTTCGGCGAATCGTTGGTTTTCGGGCGCCACTTTGGCCTTCGGCGCTCTCTTGGTTTTCGGTTCCCGTTTGTTTTTTCGGCGCCCGTTTGGTTTTCGGCGCCCCTATAGTTTGCGGCGCCGTCTTGTTTTCTCCTCGCCTCTTTTGGTTTTCGGCGCCTCCTTTTGTTTTCGACGCTCTTTGGATTTGCAGCACCCCTGTTGTTTTCGGCGCCCTGCTTGTTGTCGACGTTTTTTTGGTTTTCTGCGCCTCTTTGGTTTTCGGCGCTCTTTTGGCTTGTTCGGTTGCGGCGCCGTTGTGGTTTCGCGCGCCCCTTTGGCCTTCGGCGCTCTCTTGGTTTTCGGCGCCCTATTGGTTTTTCCGAGCCCGTTCAATTGTTGGCGCTCTTTTTGGTGGCGCCTTTTTGGTTTTTCTGTGCCCTTTTGGGTTTCCGTGCCCTTCTGATTTTCCGCGCCCCTTTGATTATTCGCGCCATTTTGGTTTTCGGCGCATCGCTGGTGTTCGGCTTCCTTTTGCTTTTCGGCGCCTATTTGGTTTTCGGCGCCGGTCCATTCTGTTCTCGGCGCTCCTTTCTGGTTTTCCGCGCCCTTTTTGGTTTTCGACGTTCGTTGTTTTTTGTTGCATCTTTCAGGTTTTCGGAACTCCTTGTGTTTTCTGGTTTGGGTTTTCGGCGCCTCTTCTGTTTTCGGCGCTCCTTTGGTTTTCGGCACGCCGTTTGGTTTTCGACGCACCGTTGTTTTTGGACACCCCTTTGGGGGGATAGCTTCCGAGGAGCGGGGGGAAAGGAGGGGGGGGGGGCTTCCAGCAGGGGGGGTCCAAGGGGAGGGAGTAGCCAAGCCCCCAGAGCCGACCCGACCCCACCCCCCCCCATTAATAAGAAAACTCTTTTGCCACGGTTGCGCGGGGCGGACAACAGCTTCCAGCAGAGGAGGTGCAACGGGTGGGGGGTAGATCAGACCCTCCCCCCCTTTAAGAAAGGGGAGGTCGCTTCGGGAGCGCGCAAGGGGGGCAGCTTCCGAGGGGCGGATCAAAAAGGAGGGGTGGGGCGGGGGCTTCGGGCAGGGGAGGTTCGACGGGGGGGAGGGGAGGGCATGGGCAGCTCTGCCCAGCCCCCCTGTGCACGCAGCCTCCAGAGCGCGACAGGGGGGGAAGGGGGGGGGGCTTCCAAGGAGGGCGAGATGAAAAGGAGGGGGCTTCGTGTCAAGGAGGTCCAAGTGGGGGGGGGGGGGGGCAGCTGAGCCCCCACTTGGAAGGAGAGTGGTAGCTCCCCGGAGCGCGAGGGCCGGGGGGGGGGGAGGCGGGGAGAGCTCCCGAGGGGCGGGCGAAAACGAGGAGAGGGCGGGGCCTCGAGCGGGGGAGGTCCAAGGGGTGGTGGTGGTGCTAGGGCCCCCCCCCCCTTCGGGAGTGTTCCACGGGCGCGCTCGCTCTCTCTCTCTCTCTCTCTCGCTTTCTCCCTCTCTCTCATTATAAAATTATCGATCGTATATCTGTATATACATACATATATATACATATTATCTCTCTTTCTCAGTCTAGCATTATCTCTCGTATTTCTGTCTGTATAACTATGTATGTGTATATATATACATATATATATATATGTATGTATATGTATGTGTGTGTACACGCACACCATTTACTGGCAATACGGCCTGGCCCTCCCCCGGTCCGTAGCAAGCCAGGGGCACCTGAACAACACGAAGTCCCCCCTCCCCCCCACTGAGCGTCCCAGGGGCCTTCCCGGAGCTCCCCGGGTCCCCCCGAAGCCTGGGCGCCCCTCAACGGGGTGGTGACCACACCGTGCGGTGAGTCGGTGGGGATTCGGGGCCGCCGCACGGTTTTGGGACTCGAGTCCCTCTCCGAGGACGTCTCGGGCGACAGGGGCCTCCAGGGTCCCAAGACTGTGCGGTGACGGACCGTGCGGTGAGGTCTCTTGGGGTTCCGAGGTCGCCGCACGGTCTGCCACCGCACCGTTTCGGGACTCCAAAGAAGCGCCTGGATAGGTCCCAGATAGGTCACAGACGTGCCAAGATCGGGGAAACGTAGGACTCGAGTCGCCAGAACTCGGGCTTGCCGACGTTATTTCACGAGCGCGTCCCGGATTTTGACGGTCCAGTTTCCGTGGGACGTCTGCAGCGAGACCTCGCGTCTCCCCGACAAGATGGCTTCTGGACATCCCCTGATTGCGACAAGGCGGCCCATGAGGCCCCAAAGACGCCCCAAGGCGGCTCCAAGAGGAACCACAAGACGTCTGGAGAGGCAAATATCGTGCAATTCCCAGAGAAAAGCGCACATTTCTTTGCAAGTTCATTTTCAGATTTTCGCAGCGCCCGAGACGGCCCAAGAGGCCCCCGAGAGACGGCCCAAGAGGTCCCCAAGGGGACCCAGAGGCTGCCCGAGAGGGCCCAAGAGGCGCCCAGGACCGAGAGGGCCTTCAGAGGGTCCCAGGGGAGATCCCGAGCCCACATTTCGAGGCTTCCGCCTCAAGGGGGCCCCGCAGACCGCCAGCAGGCCCCCAAGGATTCCCCCCAGAGGACCCCAAGAGGCAGCAGAGGCCCCGCGAGGCGCCCCCAGGAGGCTTCAGCACCGCCTCGGGAGAGGCTGCCCCAAAGAGGCGCCCCCGGAGGCCCGCACAGGCATTCGGGAGGCTACAGACCACCGAGCCGGGCACGGTGGCAGGATGCGCGGACGATGGGGCACGGTGGGGCCCCGTCCTCCCCGTCCTCCTCCTGCCCTTCGATTGCAGAGGCCCCATTTATCCTCCTCCTCCTCCTCCTCCTCCTCCTCCTCCTCCTCCACAATTACTAAATATGAAAATACTCTCCCTCTTCCCCTGATGGCGTCCGGGTGATGGCCGCGCACCCTCCGCGTACTGTTTTTTTACACACAGGATGCCCGGGAAATCCCGGGAAACGACTCTCGCTGAGGCGCCGGCGTCTTTTTTTCTCAAAATGCTGCTCTCGTTGAGGCGCCGGCCTCATTTCTGCTCCCGACTCGTTCCGAATCGTGCTCCCGCTGCAGCGTGGGCCTCATTTTCGGATCGGTGCTTGGCCTCCGTCGTTCAGGATGGCGTTCTCGCCCCAGCGCGGGCCTTTTTTCGCGCGCCCATCCGCCAGCCACCACCGCGCCGCACCGCCACCACCACCACCACCACCACCACCACCACCACCACCAACACCACCACCACCACCACCACCACCACCACCACCACCACCACCACCGCCACCACCCACACACACACACCACACCACCACCACCACCAAGCACCACCCACCACATCACCACCACCACCACCACCACCACCACCACCAACCACCACACCACCACTACACACCACCACCACCACCACCACCACCACCACCACCACCACCACCACCACCACCACCACCACCACACCACCACACCTCGAGAACCACGCACACACGCACGCACGCACGCACGCGCACCACCACCCACTACGCACGCGCGCGCGGAGCCACAGGTCCGCTACGACACGCGTCCGCGGATAGAGAAAATCAGCGCCCTGGTAAGGGATGGGAGGGAGGGGTAGGACGTCAGATATGACGCGAGCGCACCTAGCTTGTCCCCCTCCCCCTCCCCCTCCCCTTCCTCCTCCTCCTCCTCCTCCTCCTCCTCCTCCTCCTCCTCCTCCTCCCCCTCCTAGTCGGCGTGGGAAGGTCCGACTCGTTTCCGACCCGCCAGGAGGGTAACACATTTCCCCCCCAGAGACTTGCAGGGCCCCCGACCAATCCCGAGGCCAGGAGGGGAGAGGGCCTTGTAGCACATTCTCGAGTACCGTACTCTTCCTCACTCTTGCTTTGTGCCGCCATGGAGTTCTCATGTGTGACCATTGCTAGCAGCAGCATGAAGAGACGACAAAGGACACGCCAAACGCATGCGAGAAAATCACAACAGGCAAGCATTTCGATTTTGTCTCATTGCTTCTGCGCTGCTCCGATTGCGTCAGGAATTGGAGTTGTTCTTCCGCCGCCATGTTTGGA